CAGTAGTAGTTGATACAGTAATGAAACTTGCCACCGTATTAATGTCACTGGCATGAAAATGACGATATATCTCAGGCACTCAATAACAGTGTAGATTTAATGAAGTAACAAGTAAACGAACTTAATGCATTTTTGGAACAATTGTGCTGGATATGCGTATTTACAGATAGACTCTACCGAAGGGAGGATTGCCATTTTAGCCGGAAACAAAGAATATTATGAAAAATCGGTTATGGGAAACACGGTAATTCTCAAGGTTTCCAATAATTCATTTTCAGATGAAATAACAACTGGCACAAAGAAACATTTTTCTATGCTCACTTCATAATCTGCGTGAATGATTGTCTTCAATCTTGTCATTTGCATTTGCAACCTGCTTGTGTCTCTGTTAGAACGATGCGCCTTAAACGCAGGAGCTGTTCTGCCAACCAGATGACCAGTAGGAGCCATTTCATAGTTCATTGCAGTCTTTCAGAGCTGCTAACAAGTATGAGCTCTGTCGTGCAATGCTATTCTATGCATTTCAATGTTTTTGTATTGACATTGGACACTGAGTTCCTAAAACCTTCAGAATTGTGCTCTTCAACGGTCACTTCTAGTCTCTGCCCAACGACTGTACCAGTCAGCCACAACCTTGCAGGGACCAAACCAAATATGATGCTCTAAACTTTAATAAAACAACGGTCGTTTTGTCCATTATAAAGACGAAGTTAAACATAAGTTTACGGACAGCGATGGGTGCGTCTATCCAGTTTAAAGCAACAAAGTGTACAGCAAAACAGTGACGTTCTACGAACAGATGGAATGGAACAGTTCGGTGGAATTTGATGCGATTATATAAAAAATAATTTATATAAATGATTTTAATGTTACGTGAACCGAGAGATTTGAAATAAATCGTAGTGCTGCAGAGCTAGAAGCTTTCTTGAACGAAAATAATGAACAACTGACTGCCAAAACAGATGAGAAAAGCAGACTCCAGACCGTAGCCAATAACTATAGTCAATAATAAGAGACCTTGAAAGCCATGTATTCACAACGAAACACGAAAAATGGTTGTTTTCTCTAATAGACTCAATGAGGAGAAGCATAGTCGGACGAACTAAACGAAAAAGTATTGAGGCGCGATTTAATTATTTAATAACATAATTAATTTACTCCTTCACTCATCAATTTGTTTCCTCGTTCTTTGATTCATTTGTTCTTTCACTCATTCATTTATTTATTAATTCTTAGATTAAATCGCTCCTTCATTCATTTGCTGTTTCTATTCATTAAATCAGTTTCTCACTAGTCCACGCCCTAATTTACATGTTCGTTCGTCCAGT